GCCCGGGGACCCCGACACTGAGGATGGCTGAGTCAGCACAGACTGGGCCCAGGATCCTGCAAGAGGGGGAGACACAGAGATGGTGAGTCTGGGTGTAGAGACAAGAGGAGGAAGCAGGGCCCATGTGTGTTCCCAAGGCCCCTTCCCCGACCCCTTATCCAGTCACCTGTGCAGTGAGCCAGGAGGGTGAGGAGGAGAGGGGCCCAGGCCATGGTGGAGGTCATCCCTGAGTCCTGCCTCCTGAGGCCCCACAGCTGAAGCAGAGCTCCCCACACCTCTCCCTTCCCCTCTTCATAGTCTGCTGAAGGGAGGGCCCACTCATGCAAATGAGGACCCCCTGGTTTGATCCCTCCCTGGGCCCTGGGTCTGGTCCCTGTGCCTGAGGATGGCAGGGTGAGGGAAGGGGTGGCGCTGTGTGGGACCCAGGGGGTGGCAAGGTCACAGCTGTGAGCCCTGAGCACAGGGCACCAGGCAGGGCCAGGGAACAGGTTGCAGCTCTGATGAGCCCAGCCCTTCAGCAGCAGCCCCTGAGCGCCCCCTGGTGCCCAGGCCTGGATGCACCACTGTGTCCCCTGCTGACTGAGCCCCTGAGGGACAGGTCCTGCCACCCCCAGCTCTGTGCACTGACCCCCTGGCTCAGGGCATCCAGGTGCCCCCTGAGGTGGCCTCCTCATCCCCTCAGGACACTCTCTATGTTCCCTCCGCCTCCTCCTGAAAGTCTGGGCCCGTCTCCCTGGCTGGTCATGGTCAGAACTGAGCTGGTGTCACTTAGGGAACTTTCCTCCCAGGATCAGGTCCAGAGCAGCGACCGTCCCTAGGAGGCGAGGTCCCTAATTTTCAGGACACAGTTTTATTTTTTTATGTGATTCCTCCCCTGTTAGAAATTAATCACTCTCTTCCCAGCACACAAATATTATTCTCTCAGTGTCCTTCCCTTTTGTCCAGTAGATTATACATATTGCGTTTCTGCACATGCTTTTCGGTCAAGCTTTACCTAGTAACCGGCATCCTCATTCATAGGGACATTGAATATAATATTTCCCACTCGTCTGTTTTCTATCCACAGGAGAGTCTGGTATCTGATTGTCTGACTGAGACTCACTGTGACCCCAGCTCCCTGGACACAGAAGGGGAAGGGACAGTGACAGCACCACCGGGACCAGGGCCTTGTGAGGGGGGCACCCTAAGTGATGACCTCAAGGTGACCTGGGGGAGCACTTTTGGGGATGGAAGCAGAAGGAGATGCATCGTAAGGTGTGGGGGTCAGAGGTTGAGTGCGGGACCTCAGGGCCTTTCCTCCCCTGAGGAAGGTGGAGGAGGCAGAGGCTCCAAGGAGAGGGCCTAGAAATAGTCATGGTGGCGGGAACTACAGAAGGAATGATGCCACTTCAAACAAACAAACAAACAAACAAACAAACAAACAAACCAGGTATTTCCTCCTTCTGACTCCCTGCAGAGAGGTTCCCCCCTGATTTCCCCTGTTTTGCTTTTGGTTCTATAATTGCCCTTGGGCTGTGTTCACAGAGTCTATTGAATCCTGGGTGTCTCTTCCTCCCTTTGGACTATGAAGCTTGTAGCTGCTCCTCCATGGGCTGTGGGGTCGCTGTCCTCATACATCCGCCCAGAACCCCCTCCTCTGGGCCGCCTCAGGGTTGCTGTCTATAGATTCTCTTTTCTCCTTCAGGCTTTTAACTTCCTGGTTCCTGACATAACGAGGGGGAATTTTTACAGAATCCAGACATTTTGAAGATGATGTGAGAAGCCTCTGGGTCCCTTGCATTCTTCTTTTTTTAAAATATGTTTTTACTGATTTCAGAGAGGAAGGGAGAGGGGGAGAGAGATAGAAACATTTATGATGAGAGAGCATATTGAGCGACTGCCTCCTGCACGGCCCCTACTGGGGATGGAGCATTCAACCCGGGCAGGAGCCTTGATCAGAATCAAACCCGGACCCTTCAGTTGGAGGCTGAGGCTCTACCCACTGAGCCCAACCGGCCAGGGCTCTCAGTCACATTTTTGCAGTCGGGTCCAGGGTGAGCTGGTCCTGCAGGAGAGGAGGGCAGATGCCCCTCAGCTGCCCCCGGGCTGGCAGCTCCTTGTGGCCGCGGGTTTATGAAGTCACATGACAAGGATAGGCAGCCTCCTCCTCAGGCCACAGACCAGGGCTGGTCACAGGGCCCAGTGCACCAGCCAGGAGAACGGGAAGAGGGCTGACCCCAGACTGTCAATCTCCTCTGTCCTAGGTCACAAGGTCCGGTAGGTGCTCTGTCTGGGAGCTGTGGGGACCGTTGCTATGGGAACAGTCAGTGTGTCTGCTGACCCAGGTTCAGGAGAAGGTGACCTGGGATCTGGGCTCATCAACAGCTTCCCAGTGGGAGTGACACAGGCACCTGTTGGGAAGGTCCTGCTCCCCATGGCCCACAGCCACCCACACCCTGGGGGGTAGGAAAGCCCCAGTGGGTGAGGGGAGAGGAACACAGCAGAGCCTTGGGGCCCAGGGAACCCCACTCACGGAAGCCCCATGGGCCCGAGTGGCGTCAGCTGTGAGAGCGTCTCCCCCAGAGACCCAGGCGCCCGCATCCTTCCTGGAGCAGCTCAGCATCCAGCCACCGTCCAGCTCGCTCACCCTGTCGAGACCCAAAGAGGGTTCCTGGGCCCAGGCCACCCATTTCCCTCCGACAGCCCCTCTCCCCAATGTCACTGAAGGTCAGGGTCCCAGCAGAGGTGACGGCCAGCCCTGTGCCTGGGCTTCCTCCTGGGCCCGAGGCTCCCCAGCCCCTCGCAGCTGAGAGCCTGGTCCGTGTGCACAGGGCTGGGCAGGAGCCTTGGGCGAGGAGCCCGGGGACTGAGGGGTCACTGCTCTGACCTTGGGCGCGGAGTCCGTGCTCCGGGGACGGGCCACCTGCTGGGAGGGTCCTGGGCTCTGGGAGCCGTTTACAAAGCTCTTCCCTTATTTTACGTCAGAAACAGCCATCGCACGGACCTGGGCTTCTTACCCACGGAGGACAGGCCACCGTTCAGTGGTATAATGACCATTGAGTTTTGGTGTTGGTTCTGTTTTCCTGAGACTCAGAGACATGGGATCAAACATGGTAAGTGACTCTTTATAAACCAGAAGGTCCTTCCCCGTGTAGTTTGCACATGGAATTTATGTTAACAAGGTCACATGTTGGGACCCAAGACTCTGGTGAAGGCCGAGGTTTTTGTCCCACTTCCCCATCTGTGTGTGTCACTGTGGGAGCACTATTGTGCCAACTCTGACAGTAATAGACAGCCTCGTCCTCAGGCTGCAGCCCCGAGATGAGCAGGAGCCCCGCATTGGCCGAGGCGTCTTTGGATCCAGAGAAGCGGCTGGGGACCCCGGAGCCCTGGCCCTTAATGGAGTCTGAGTGGTAGTACAGCAGGTACCGGGGAGGGCTCCCTGGCTTCTGCTGGT